AAGACTTACCTTCTCGTTAACGCGGCTTCCAAACATGAAAACAACCCCAAGCAAAGTCGCTATACACAAACTCCAGTAGAGGTAGCTGATAATAACGATGGTGTCTTTTTGGCTGCTTGCCGACTTGATGAGTTGATGGAAGTTGATACACAAAAGTGGTATGTCCAGTGAAACGATCACAAAGAGGAGCGGCGAGAACACAGCATTAGCCTGCTCTACCATCTCACAAAGCTTCAGGTGTTCCCGCCGCAGGTGTGCTATGGTGAAAGAGTGGAAGGATTCCTTGGACATTTTCTTTTGCAGAGTTTCGAACGTCTTTTCCAGGAGCATGCAGGTGATGCAGAAGATCAAGGCTGGAAGAATCCAAGCGAAGGAGTCGAAAGTCCCAAAGACCACTTCTATCACTCGCACTGCCAAGTACTTATCTGAGTGTGGATACCATGGTGGGAAAATAGAGATTATACCTCTGTAGCAGACACTGAAATAGGTGACGACAACGGTATTGATCAGAACAGAAAGGCAACCCAAAGCTAAACCTTTCACTGCTTTTTCCTTCATTCCTTCTAGTTCGGGTGTGTTCGTTCCAAAACTGGAAAGAAATCGAGCAAATCTCGATGGTCGCCTGTTTGGCGCTAATGGCAAAACGACCAAGCAAACGGTGGTGCTACTTGCGCATTTGGCATACCAAATGGTGGTAACGAATAAGAAGAAAAACTCCGGCGTTGTCGAGAAACCTATGTGAAAATGACTTATAACACTCAATACCACGAGTAGCCATTGGCCCAGAACGACGAGCGTGCTGAAAAATCGCGAAATGTAGCCTGTTCTTCGGCGACCTATCTCAGCCGGTGCGGTTTCTCCGAAAAACTGCCCAGACAATTTCATGGCGATCAAAATTGGACTGAAGATCGCTGAGAGCTGATTTTGACAATTTGTGTTCATTTCGTTTTCTCTCGGATATTCTTCGGTTGAACCAGTATTATCAATGTTATTTATAGACCTTTGGCTAATTTCTAGTGCACACACTGCTCGTGATGATAGCATGGCGTTTTCCGAGCTTGAAATGAAGGTTTCTCAGTGTTGAGTTTGGAAGACGTCGTACACTGACTGACAAATTTATTTTGAATATTAAATCTTCCAACAGGTGTTACTCGCAAACTCAGTTACAGTACAGAGAACTTGATAATGTTTTGCTACCATATGGAAATCGTTTGCAGTGTTTATTTATTACTGTTGATTATTAAGATCACTACCTTTTGACATAAAACTTAAACCAGCTCGATTCCAATGATTTAGAAATTTCTTTAAACTGAAAGGTTGCTGTCAAAGGACAGTGC